ATATATATATATATATATATATATATATATATTTTAGTTTTTGCTTATTCGTGTCTGTAGAGGCTATTATTCTATTTCCCTCGCTCATAAAGTATGGTTCATGCCTGACATGAATTGTAAACGCATTCGCCCCTATTTTGTATGGGAAGCATGTAAACCGTTGTACTCGTCTGCAATATATATGATGATTATAATTATCAATAACAGTTTTCATTTCTCTGATCCGGGCAAGCTAAAATATTCTTGATAAATATTTACATTGTGTCGATTATTGTGATTTTTTGGAAGAATTTGACATTAACTATGCACAGTAGGATGAGATTCGATTCGTTCTGCAAGATGGAAACAAAACCCAACCATTTGCAAGGATTGCCCAGAATTTCAAAAGCTCTGTCTAATAGACAGATTACGAATTAAAAGTTTTCAAATGTCTTCCGAGGATGATTTGTCAGAAAAAGAGAAATGTTTAATAACTTCAGGACGTACCAAAGGACGAACAACATTGGATATTACAAAATATGATCTGAGGTACTACCGAACGGTGAAGACCATCATTGCAGTTATTGATAGATTTCGATCTAAGTCTGATAGAGGAAAGAGGAGACGTTATTTTGCCAGATTTTGTTCCATTTTAAAACCAAAGTTATAAGAATCGGACAGGTATTTAAGTTTTGAGGTAACGCGGAAATACTGATTAATTACAGAATGTTAGGATATAAATTAAGGTCTTCTTTAAAGAACACACTGAGGCAAATATCGAATGAAACGCGGAAATGAATTTATATTAGAGCTACACATTTCAACCGATCTGAAGCAATGTTTCATTCAGTAGTCATTCTCATTATTTCACTCTCTGTATCACCCTCATTTCTTTCTCTCCCTCCATATATATATAAAACCCAACCTAAACAAAATCAATTATGGCATGTCTACAAATATTCTTAAATGTCTATAATTGGTAACAGAAGCCATTGGTTTATACCAACGGCTTTCCTTATTTCATTCTACAATTCACTCTCGTGTAGTCATGTGTGACGTCATGAGATGCGGTGCGATTTTCGCTTCTAGCGTCTTATATGCGCGTGTTTATCGTTGCTTAGTGATCCACTATGTAAACAATGACAGACTATCATCACTGTCGTGTCCGTATATTGTTTAATATGTTTGTGATTTACATCTTTGATAATGGCATAAGTAAGCCGAAAGCTTAGATTATATTAAAAAATAATGGATCAATATTGTGAATTTCTTTCTTCGTTTAATGATAATGTTATCAAACTTATCAGAAGTTACGAACAAATTTTACATAAAATAAATAGACAACACTTGTCTATATTATTTAATGAAACGTGTATAAATATATATATATATATATATATATATATATATATATATATATATATATATATAGTTTGCGACGGATAAATTATCGTCTAAATTATGCAAAAATGAACATAACACTGACATCTCATTTTAACAGATATATTTACCAAAATTACACAAAAATATCTTGAAATACTAAACAGTAAATTTATTCAATCGACATTGGCTCCAACCACGGCCTCCGGACGATTTCAGAATTTATTGCAACTCTTCTGGACGTTCTTGTTTAAGTTGGTGAATGCTGCCATAATCATTGTCTTCAGTTCATTTTTGGTGTTAAAAGGAGTTTTATTGCCCTCTCGCTAAACTGCCACCCACACATATTAATCAAGGGTGTTGCAACCTGGAGAGTGAGGTGGCCAGATAAAAGGGGTGAAGTGGTTGCAGAAATTGTCTGACAGGCAAGACTGGATTCTGCTGATTGTGTGGCATGGTGCAGTGTCCTGTTGCCAGACATAGGGACTTCCAGTATCAACTCTCTTGACCAAGGGCAGCCCTACCTCCTCAAGGCACTCGATGTAGGCTTCTGTGTTGTGTCTGAGGCCCTCACAAATTCGCAAGTTCTTTTATTATCAGAACGATCAGGGTGAGTTTTTCGAACTGTAATTTACAGGGGGAAGAGGTTGTTATATTTGTATTGTCAACGAAAATGTTGCGGATAGAGATTGGTATGTCTCAGTGTCTGTTTAAATATACATAAAATACATACATAAAAAGATACATGCATTCAGTAAAAACCAAATAATCCTTGACAATGGCTAAAAGAATAGCCGATAGCGCTCAAACACACAGAACATTCAGACAATTTCTACATATTATTTATCACAAGAAAAAAAAACTTAAACGCAGCACCTTGTCAGTCACTTTTAATGAAACTTGTATAAAAGAATTATTGCTGCCAAATACACAATAACTCTATCTATAAAAGGCAGCATGTGTGTGTGTGTGTGTGTGTGTGTGTGTGTGTGTGTGTGTGTGTGTGTGTGTGTGTAACGAATGCACGGCCGCAATTTTCGACAGATTTGCACCAAAAGTTACATGCACATGCTCCAAGTTAGCAGGAAGGCCAAGACCGACTTTGCATTTCCCAACTCGCATCGATAGTGGAAATAATCGATTTTCTCCTGCTTCTACGACAGTTTTCATGTAGTTTGCGGCCATTTTCTACTGGCCAGAGTGAGAGCCTATAGCTGGCTACCACGAATAGGCAGGAAGTTTCTATTGGCCAGCGTGAGAGCCAACAACTGACTGACACGAATGTTAACTAGCATGCTAGCATGCAAAAAAAATCGATAGCCGCATTCGTCACAAATGGGAAAAATTTAAATCTGCATGGCACTTTACTCCAATTGGCTCATTCGCTTGCTTAAACTCAACGTTGATTCTGATTCCACAGAACTGGGTTGGGTGTGAAAAAGTATTTGTTGTTAGCATTCTTTTTTTATTCGGTTTTTCAAGTTACGAGTCCTTTTTTAAAGCTGATCGTTTTGTGTTCATTTTGTTTAGTTCTTTTTTCGTAACAGATTTAATATTTAGTATAGAGCTTAGAAAAAATTCGCAGTGTGAGGCAAGAAGTAAGTCATGTAGCAACATCAGCACGGCAAAGGACACTCCATTAAAAGGCAAGAAAGGGCAAAAATATTTTAAAGTCAAGTGATAGCGATTGCTGTATGAGTCGTACGATTTTGAATCAAGCATGGGCAACGCCAGGCCATGCTGCTATATATATATATATATATATATATATATATATATATATATATATATATATATATATATATATATATATATATATATATATATATATATATATATATATATATATATATATCTGTGTGTGTGTGTGTGTGTGTATGCATGGAGAGATAGTGTGTGTATGAGAATAGGTACAGAAATATGAACCGAAAACCCGAGGTTCGAATTTCGCCCAAGGCAGTTTATATTTACTTAGTACCGATGCGCTTTTGGGAAAGGTATGAATCCACATAATTACTCTATATCCCATTGCTAGATATCTTAACAATAACAATTTGCCGCGGGCATAATACGCTGGTTGAGAGAAGAAGAAAAAGTAAGAACTTGGGCAAATCATTCTTATGGTATACGTATACATACATACATATATATATATATATATATATATATATATATATATATATATATATATATATATATATATATATATATATATATATATATATATATGTGTGTGTGTGTACATAAGCATACACACATAGATAGATAGATAGATCCATGACGACTATCTTTAAAAGTAAATTTGCAGTTACCTTGCTTGTATTTGCACCTCGAGTAATAAAATTCACATCTATCTAATTCATATACGACAGAAACGTTTTTTAGCGTTTAGTATGAAAATACCCATTGTAAATCAAAAAGATTCAAAGCAAAATCTTTACAGATTGGTTACTCCTACTTACTAATTTTAATTTTATTCATTATATTGAGTTTATTTTTACAGAATATATATATATATATATATATATTATATATATATATATCACTTTAAACGTTATTTTAGTGCATGACCATATCAAGGTAGACGTTTCATTTATTTATTAATCAGCATATTTATTTATTTTCGTCTCTCGTATAGAATATTCGTGAAATCTTATTAAAAAAAAAAATGAAATCTCTCGCAGGATTCGAACCAACTTTCCTCATAGCTGTGGGGGGACCGTTGGTATATCCCTCGGACTTTAACCGATTCGTCCAGGGAGAATCTTTACCGTTAAAACCAGTTCTAAAACGTACCTTTATGCGAATTCCTTCTTGCAATAAATTCTTCGAAATTTTCCTATCTGCACAGTGTCGAATTGATACGTAAACAAAGTAATGGAATTTTATTTACCAATCCGACAGATTTTTTATACGAAAATAAATATGTAAATGTATTGTCGAATAAATAAACGGAGATTCTACGCAAATATGAGTATTCATTTAAAAATATGACGGATTGATAAATAAAACATCGATTACCTTAGAGTATATACATACATACATACATACATATATATATATATATATATATATATATATATATATATATATATATATATATGTGTGTGTGTGTGTGTGTGTGTGTGTGTGTGTGTGTGTGTGTGTGCGTGTGTGTATTTCAAACTAGTCACAAAACATTACATTGCATCTAGACATGTGTTTCTGTTGTTAATATTTCAGCCTTTCACGTGGTATGACGTCATAGAACCGCATTTTGAACTTAGGAACTGTGTCTGCTATTCCGCGACCATTATCGTCGCATAGCAATCTTCTGTGTCAACATAATAGAATATTATATTTGATGACGAATACTTTTGTTAAAATGTCCGCATAACCGCTCTGAAGATGGCTCATGTGAGCCGAAAGCTTACATCAAAGACCAAGTTAATAAAAATTATCCAAATGTTGGACAATTTTTATCTTTATTTTTACCTGAAACTAAAGCAAAAATACGAAGATTAGAACGGCTCATAATAAGACATAACAGGCGTTCATTGTCTGTAATATTTAACAATATATCTATATATATATATATATATATATATATATATATATATATATATATATATATATATATATATGCACAAATATATGTATACATAGATAGATAGATAGATAGATAGATAGATAGATAGGAATAAAGACATAGACAGCTAGCTAGCTAGATAAGAAAAAGTAATAGATAGATATAAATAAAGTCATAGATAGATAGACAGACAGACGGACAGATTTTATCAACATGCCTCACCGATTTACTGACTTCATCAGAAAAAAAAAATGATCAATTGTATTTGGCAATGACACACTCTCCAACTACGAGACGAAATATGTCTTGCTAATATAAATTCCTTGGCTCATATATTCGATATTTCATTATGTATGTCTTTTAAAGAATGCCAAGCGGTCGATTGCATCTTCTGCCATTGAATTTATGTCATAACGTCCTGTCATTTTCTTATTTCTCTCAACCCGTATTTTCGTATTTCTACAAACCCAAAATGTTTGACAAATGTTATAAGTTCGGTCTTAAAACAGATTTACATCGAACTCGTTCAGGATCCTCAACGAAGGTCTTCACCTCCGATAATATTTTACAGGAATCTAATGTTTTTCTCCCTTTGGCTAGTTCTGAAAATATTAAACATTTCTCTTTTTTTGACATATCATTCTCGGGAGGTATTTGACAACTTTTAACTCGTAATTTGGCTATTAGATCAAGCTTTTGAAATTCTGGGCAATTTTTGCCAATGGTTAGGTTTTGCTTCCATCTTGCAGAACGAAGCGACTCTCATCCTAACTGCACATACATCGGTATATTAAAAAACATGTCTTACGTATCCAGTAAGTATTTATTTTAGATATCGATAAAATATGAAGTAGTACATAATAAATGCGAATGTCAGTGTGTCACTTTAGGAGTAATGGATAGTGGCTCGGTTTGAGAAATCGGAGAGCCGAGTTCAAATTCCAGTTCCACTGCATGAACTTACATGCTAATAAACTTGGGAAAGTTATGAATCCTCTTCTTCTCCCCCAGCTATGCGCAAAATAGCAGGACAGACTGGGTAGCAATGGGTCTAGGAAAAGAAAACTCTGATTTCAAAACCGGTATGGAGAGGGTTGCGCTCGGTCAGGATATCTTGTCCAAGAAGCCCCACATCTACTGCCACTGAAGTACATGTGGTGCTCCAAGACTGATGGGTCACAGGATTCGCCATCGTAGTGTGTCGTGCCTTTTCAACTTTACTCCTAGAGGCCGTACCCCAACATATCATACCATTTTGGAATCAGGTCGACTCTGTGAACAAATTAAAAACATTCTGGGTCGGATCCAGACTCGCAATCCTGAAATTTGGGATTCCCCCAGTTTTCATTACTCCAATTATTTTCGGATTCCGCCATATTGGTTTCTATTGATAAAATCAACTAAAGGAACACACCTTTCTAACTTTCAATAGCTCGCGTTCAAATGAAAAGAAATACTGTTCTCAAATTACAGTGTTTCAAAATAAAATTGTGCCTTTTCAACTTTACTCCTAGAGGCCGTACCCCAACATATGATACCATTTTGGAATCAGGCCGACTCTGTGAACAAATTAAAAACATTCCGGGTCGGATCCAGACTCGCAATCATGAGATTTTGGATTTCCAAGTTTTCATTGTGTATGTGTGTGATAATGAATTCTCTCGTTGTCTTCAACATATGTAGGTTTACCAAGTTATTACTTGGAACCGAACAGCCAGACTACCTTCATATATGTTTTGATTATAATTATGAAGGCCTGTGTAGAACCACACACACTTTTCGAAAGATATTGTTGCGCATAGTGTACCACAAAATTCCCAAACGACCCTCCTCAGGTTTTTGAATTCAGAGCTGTCACTCTCCTAAACTCGTTTTCAATCAAGGCTAAAGATCTCAGTCTACCCTACTAGTCTGCAATAGAGAGGAGGAGACGAAGAGTAGGATTAATATTTTTCTCAATAGATGTTTTCGTATAAATGGATACAACGAAATCGACTGGAATTCGAATTCGCTTCTCCGACTTCTCATATCAAATTTATCAATAACATCTCTTAATACGGCTACTATGATCTTTACCCGTATTCATTGGGTCTTTCTTCCTAATTTTTCATTGTGGAATATTAACACCTTGATTATGATATTATTTAGGGGTTTAAATAAGCATTTTGAATTAGGGATTTTAAATAGGGTTTTTATGTTTTTGTTTTAAATAGTGGTTTTGAAAAGTTACCATGCCCAAATCAGTTGATCTTTATCTATTTTGGGCATTGTGCTAGTTATGGTGGGCTTCTGATATTTTATAGTGTTACAAGGGCCTTGCTTGACTTGCCTCTTAGGCTATGGGCCAGAGACCAAAAAAGGGCTTAGATTTTGAGTTCGTGGACATTTTATTCATATGAGAAAATTTCAACTGTTTCTAGGAGTATTTTTCGTGCTGATTTCAAATATGAAGAGATCTCCAGGCTAAATGTGCGCACTGCTTCAGAAAAGGGGAGATAATACAGGGTGTGTCATTTACAGAAAAAGTCCATTTTCATGGTTTACTTCATGTAAAATGAACTTTAAATAAGTTTTTAGCACATTTAAGTGTATCAACAAGAAGCTGATTTATCTATGCTCTAATATTATGTGTTAATTTATTTAATCAGGAATTTTCAGCAAATAAAATGACTTGCATAAAGCCATAACAATGAAAACGTTACTTTCTATTGTCGTGTGACAAAATCTCAAATTCGAATAACCTCGTAAAACATTGCAATGTACATTAATTTGATAAAAAAACATGAAAAACTTTTATATATGTTTCCAAATCTTGTGCCTTCCAAAAATCATAGATGGAAGAACTGTTTTCAAATACTTCTGGTAATTGACTTTTCTTCATTTTGGACTGCCATTTACTTTTTGATGTAATTTTGTCACACATACACATTGACTGATATAGAAATCTTAATGTTTAGACTAACTTTGACTATATATATATAAAAAAATATTGTAATAAGAGTTTTTTTTCAGTTACGTTGAAATAATTGTTATCAAGTAATACATTTATAAAAGGAATTGAAAAAAAAATTGATTGTCCTCTAATCCTGCAAGCTCATCTTATCATTCGCCTTCTGAGGAGTCAGAATCTTCTATTTCATTAATCTGCTGCACTTCATTATTTTTTTAAGTACATTAAAACAATCTATACACTGGCAAAGGTCGGTAAAAGGCAGTGTTTGACGAACACAAGAACAACGCCTGGAGTTACAGCTGTTCTTCTTACAGTTACACTTTACTAAGTTCATCAAGGTAGATGGAGTTTTAGGAAGGCTGCTCCAATGAACAACGAGTTTTTGATCTTCACATTTCCAGCCATGATTTGTTGCAGAAGGAGCATTAATATTAATGTGAAGACATTGTCGCCAAATGGTAATTTGCCCTTTCTGCATGTAACCGTAAACTATTTTGGCAAGGTGGTAGAGTATTATCCAATTTTCCAGATATATGAAAAATATTAAAACGAGCAGTATTTACAGAAGAAACATTTCTCTGTCCAAATAGACAGCACACAAATTTTTCTAGTTGCTGGAACAAATCATCTGTCAGGTGCCAGTTGCAGCCTAAAAGTGTGAAAGTTTGAAGAAATTCCTCTGTTTCTTTCATTAACTCAAAGGGTTTTATTTTACCCTTTCCCTTAAAGCAGTATCACAGCCAGTGAATGCATGCAAAGAAAGTAAGGCACTTGAAAGAGCAGGTCCACATTTCTTTGCAACTGATTTAATAGAGATCAAACAAGATGATCGGTTGGTATTAGTAGCCATATATAAATCACAACTTAATTCACTTTGATGAGTAAGGCAAAGAAGAAAAAACATCCGTATCTGGAGTCTTAATGATAATGGAAGGGAAAGCAGTTGATGTATGCTTTGCATGAAGCAAAAGAAGGGTATCGGCTTCTTCATGGTCAGTTGTTAATTCTGGCAAATTTCTGTGATGACTTCATTTGTGTCACTATGAGGACACAGCATGAAACATCCTTGGCTAAATGAAGCAATCACAGTTTTTCCATGAAATTCTTCTGCTAGCAATTTTTTTCCAATGCATCAACATAAATAAGATGAGGGATTCTTTATTTTCACCAGATATGAGGAATTTTCGAAATTGTACCGGTGTTTTCTGTTTTTCATTCAGGGCACGTAACAGGTGGTATGGGGTAATCAAACGGCGTCTTCTTTCAGAGTCTTTAATACTCCATGGATTGTACTTATCACAGACAAAGTCAACTCTTGATGACATATAAGTAGAAGCAAGCTTGATTACATATCTAAAAACATAAATACTTAGCTCACAAAAACTTGATGGAACATGGTCTGCAAGCTGTTGTATTACTGTCATTCCATCTAATATCAGTGCTGCATTTTTTGGAATATTGTTAATTTTCATATCAGGAAACTTTACAAGAAAATAACGAAATAATGCAGCTTTGTTGGTACGCTGCAAAGAACCATCAATGTTACTTAGGCTAGATGGGAACTCTGAAAGGCAATGTGAAAAAATTTCTTCCAGGTCAACTTTTCGGGTTCTTGCTACTATAAGAAGCCTAGTGAGAAGGTCTTTATCTGCTTTCAAGCAATCTGCTTCCTTCTTGCTCTTTTTTGTGAACGCTTTTTCTGAAGATCACTAAAAGTTTTTATCTTCATTGACTTTAATGGTGCATTCAACTCCACATTTTTCAAAATTAGTCGTTGTTGAACAAACTGATTAGAAATATTACAGCCTTGTTCATGTGCTGTCAAAATGTCATCTTTAATTTCAGAAGATGCTACTTGGCCAGATGCAATGTTAATTAATTCTTCTTCACAATATGCAAATGAGTTTTGCATAGACTCGATTGTCTGCATGACACTTCATCATTTTGATATCGAGAACTACTCAGGTCTTTTTTATTATGGCAACCATCTCCTTTTCCAGCCATTTCAGTACAGTTTTTAGAGATTTGAGCACATTGATTAAAAGATAAAATCCAACGATGAACAGCATTGTCATTATTTGGGAATCCAATCTGCCCACTTCTGGTCTTGCTATCTCTATTCATTGTCTGTTCAATCGTCTGGTCCATTGCTGTCTGACTAAAGGGGTACTGGTTTTG